CGAGGACGACGGTCGCTCTCCGAAGAGCGCCGTCGTTTCCACGCGCCCCCTAGCGGCCCCCTCAAGGGCAAGGCCGCGTCCCAGGAGGCCGGAGCCAAGGGGACGCGGGTTCGAATCCCCGCTAGCGGAGAGAGGGTGGGAATACGCCAGGCACTGGTCAGACCCCTTCCTAAAGCCCTATAAAGGGTCGCTCCCAGTCTTTCCGCCTTGAACCATCATCTTCGTCGTCGTTGTCATCATGAAACTGCAGAAAACTGTGGCTCATCTAGCCCAAACCCTGTCAAGGAAGCACAAGTGGGGGGAATCGAACTCCCAACCTCTGGCTCCCCAGCCAGAGATTTAAACCCCTGAGCTTATCCAGATGTGTGATGGCACATAGCTGCACACTCCCCCCCTGGGAAGGGAGGTGGAGGAGCACAGATCAGAGTGGAGGCTCATTCCTTTTTTTTTAAAGGAACAACAACTCCTAGCATCCACCTAAGCCTGGCTAGGGCACTCCGCCCTGGAAGAACTCATGGCTTTATCCCCAGCTGCCCCTTATCCTTGTTGGATCTGCCATCTTTCCTCACTTGTTTACATGGGCCTTACTTACTGGTCAAAAAGATAGGAGGCTAGTTCCCTCCAATTGCTAGTTTCGATACTGCGTTATTGGAAATATTTATAAAAATAAAAAAGAGAAAGCCAACAGTTAGTTCCCTGGTTGCTTATACAGTAGGTCCCCCTTATCCGCAGGATAGGCATCCGCTAATTCACTTATCCACGGTGTGAAAATATTTAAAATATTAAAAGAGAAATCCCCAAAATATATATTTCTAACAATGAAATTATTAAAACTGGTAAGTAGGAGCCAGAGACCATGCTACGTATGGTGTTCACTATTATAACAACCTTTAGTCTAATCCATGTTTTCAAGCATCCCATGCATGAGGATTGGAACCTATCTCCCTACTGAACAGGGTTTCTACTGTAATTGGTAGGGGAATTGGTAGGAGAAACCTAAAAGTAACATCTATATGCTTGTTACATTGCTCATTTCCCAAGAGTTAATGTGTTGTTGTTGTTTAATCGTTTAGTTGTGTCCGACTCTTCGTGACCCCATGGACCAGAGCACACCAGGCCCTCCTGTCTTCCACTGCCTCCCAGAGTTGGGTCAAATTCATGCTGGTTGCTTCCATGACACTCTAGAACCATCACATCCTCTGTCGTCCCCTTCTCCTCTTGCCTTCACATTTTCCCAACATTAGGGTCTTTTCCAGGGAGTCTTCTCTTCTCATGAGATGGCCAAAGGATTGGAGCTTCAGCGTCAGGATCTGTCCTTCCAGTGAGCTGTCAGGGTTGATTTCCTTCAAAATGGATAGATTTGTTCTACTTGCAGTCCAGGGGACTCTCAAGAGCCTCCTCCAGCACCACAATTCAAAAGCATCCATTCTTCAGCGGTCAGCCTTCTTTATGGTCCAGCTCTTACTTCCATACATCACTACAGGAAAAACCATATTGACTATGCGGACTTTTGTTGGCAAGGTGATGTCTCTGCTTTTTAAGATGCTGTCAAGCTTTGTCATTGCTTTCCTCCCAAGAAGCAGGCACCTTTTAATTTCGGGGCTGCTGTCCCCAACTGCAATGATCATGGAGCCCAAGAAGGTAAAATCTGTCACTGCCTCCATATCTTCCCCTTTTATTTCCCAGGAGGTGATGGGACCAGTGGCTGTGATCTTAGTCTTTTTTTATGTTGAGCTTCAAAGCATTTTTGGCGCTCTCCTCTTTCACCCTCATAAAGAATTTAATTGTGCAAATGCATTGTCATAACCTGGGTATCTTAGGCTCAGAGAGGAATCCAGGGGCGCGCACCCACCCCAAGCTGCGGGCCTGCGTTTTCAGAGGGAGTGTCGCCCTTCCCATTTCTCTAGAAAAGAGACACACACCTTTAATAAGATGAAAAAGAGCCAGAGTCGTGTAAGGTATTCTAGGCTAAAAAGTAGTAACTGACTTCGTTTAAGAGTGGTTTAATACTTCACCCTTAGTGTTCTTACAGTGAGGGGTGCAAGATGACCCTGCCAATTTTTTGGGGGGGGAGGAACAGGTGATGCTGCCTAAGACTGATGGGATCTGTAATCCAACAATATCTGGAGGACTATATTTTGCCGCCCCCGAGGGAGACGACAGCTGCGTTACAAGGACATCTGCAAGTGGGATCTGAAGGCCTTAGGAATGGACCTCAACAGATGGGAAACCTTGACGTCTGAGCGTTCAGCCTGGAGGCAGGCGGTGCATCATGGCCTCTTCCAATTTGAAGAGACCCTCATCCAGCAGGCCGAGGCAAAGAGGCAGTCCCGAAACAAGAAAAACCAGGGAGCTGGACAGGGGACAGATTGTATTTGTCTTCAATGTGGAAGAGATTGTCACTCTTGAATTGGTCTTCTCAGCCACACAAGACACTGTTCCAAGACCTCCATACAGAGCACATTACCATAGTCTCTCGAGACTGAAGGATGCCTACACAATATTTTACCTATACCTGCTTTTGCCAAGCACTCTTATCCAGCATCGGGAAAGTTGTGGCCTGCCAACTGTTATTGGTAAATTAGCGCTCGGTTTGCGGGGGGGGGGGATGTGTCGCTTGCATAATTAACTTGTAAACTGCCCAGAGAGCTGCCCACTTGAAGCGCTATGGGGGGTATAGAAGCATGGTATATAAGCAGTACGCTTTTCTTCTCTTTACTAGTCCAGTACACAGTTCCCATCTCACAGACTTTGCGGCTGGGGCTGATGGGCACTGTGATCCAACAGCTTTGCCAAAACGTTACAATGCCCAGCCCTGCTGTAACCACTAGCCAATCAGCCTAAAGGGAAGACCTGTTGCCTGCAGCAACAACTGAAGCCAAATAGTCCCGAAATAGAAGAGTGAGCAGCTTTTATCAATTCTTTTCAAAGTCAAACCTACCACTGAGTTTTACATTTCTGGGCTCTTAACTCTCCAATCCCGCTGTGAGCAAGACCACAGGTTTCCATCAATTGTAGTGCAAAATATAACTTTTCCTGCCTCTCTAAGCGATTTACCTTTCTTGATGGTCTGATAGTGCACTGCCTCTCTTTCCACAGCTTCAGGCAGCAGCAGCTTTTTTTACATCTCACTCAATCCACAACAGCCCATAAACTGTTGTATTAGAATTCAAATGCAAAACTAGGTGATACTTTTATCTACTACTAAAAAAAATCATCACATAATAAAGCTTTCCTCGATTAAAAAAACAGCACTACATTTATTTATTAGATTTATATCCCGCCCATCTACAACGTATCTACTCTGGCCAGTTTGCATAGAATACAAAAATAAACTAAGAGGTAAAATCCAGATTAAAACCCACGAATTCCAATTTGCATAGAATACAAAAATAAATTAAGAGGTAAAATCCAGATTAAAACACATGGATTCCAATTTGCATAGAATACAAAAATAAATTGAGAGGTAAAATCCAGATTAAAACACATGGATTCCAATTTGCATAGAATACAAAAATAAATTAAGAGGTAAAATCCAGATTAAAACCCACAGATTCCAATTTGCATAGAACAAAAAAATAAATTAAGAGGTAAAATCCAGATTAAAACCCACCGATTCCAATTTGCATAGAATACAAAAATAAATTAAGAGGCAAAATCGAGATTAAAACCCACCGACTCAGGTATGCTCCTGAAGAAACAACATTTAACCCCACACGTCGGGTCTACGTCAAGCAAAGAAACAAGACAAAAAACATATCAAATATCCAAATGTCGGGTAGTTTATAAAGTTGCCACTTAAGGGCAAAGAACAGCAAAACGGGTTTGTTTTTCTAAGCATTTCATTTCTGTTTTTTGTACCAAGGAAATTCAGTCTCCGTAGAGACTGTCAAAAATTGCCAATGCCGACTATATTTCAAGTCGTCATGGCGGGGTATTGGGAAAAGTTTTCAATTAGCAATAATCGCGCCTCGGATTAACCTCATTGGCTACGATACTGCCACTGCGCAAAGCTACCGTCCTAGTGCGAGGCTCGCCCGCGCCAAGCAGCGCCATAGCCGAATATATTACGGTGGTCGCAAAATTTGTTTTTCCCCCCCACCTCTCCGACCGGACTCCCATCCCGCCAACCACCCATATCCCACGCTCGGTTTTTATTCATTGAGGAGGGGAATTATTTCTCAATGAAGAGGCGGGCGTCTCGCCGCAAAGCCTGCTGGGTGTTTTATGTTAATCGGAGATGACGTCACGCGCGGAAACCCGGGCAAAGCCAGCGTGGTTCTTTTAAGGAGTTGATTCCCAGGCTCTCAAAACACCTTTCCCATTTTCCACTGGGGTCGATGGGGCAATGCAGCGAGCGCCGGGAAAATGCAATACTTTATTCATTTTTCAAAGGAGGAGGATGTGATTCCCTGTGGAACCAGCAGGAACTCGCCTGTCCCCATGCCCTCCAGATGTGTTGGACTGCAACTCTTAATCTATTCTCTTATTCTTCACCTTGAATGACCTTCTATTGTCGTGATTTTGTTCTTATTTTAATTGTTTTAAATCTAATCGCTGCGAGCCTTCCCAGAGGAGACATCATCTAGAATGGGTGGCATATACGTTTAATTAATAAATAAAATTTTAAAACTCCCATCCGCCCCAGGGAACAAGCCCAAGAGTGATGGATCATGGGACCTGCAGTCCAAAATTATCTGGAGGGCACCAAGTAAGGAACAAAGACTAATGCTGGCAGGGTATTCAGAGAAATTCAAGTCAAGTGTGTGTTTTTTATTAGGACAACTGAACACGTTGGAGAAATAGAAAAACTAGATTCTCTCATACAGTTTGAGAATCTAATAATTTGTTATTAAAAGCTGGATCAATCTCTGTGTGCTACAGCATTCAATTTATTATTTGTCTAGGAGAGGTAGATACAGTATATTCGCTTTTTGGTAGAATGCAGAAAAGCAATTGAGAGCATACAACACATTTGAAGATGAGCACATGAAGGAACCATGGATATTTTAAAAACAAAGAGTCCCATGGGACCTTAAATACCATGAAATCTATCTTAAAATGTGTATTTGGTACAGTATAACACACTTCTGTTCACGAGACACATGGAACATGATCGAGAACAGCAGGTATATGCAGTCTGCAAAGACTTATCCGCAAAGTTAGTGAAGATAGTCTAAAAACAGATGTTAGAAAAATGAGGACTATTAATCACAAAGCAAGCAGCTCAACAAATATTGATACAGGTCCAATATGAAAGCATGGAGTATGCTGGCAAATGTATATACTCTGGAATTTCGTTACACGGATCATGAGAACATAGGGACACAATAAAAGTTTGAAGGAAGATCTGAAGGCATGGTGCAGCTTTCTTAGGAACGATGCAACATGATTTAAAAAATGAAAACTTATTTTGTATTTTCGAAGGCTTTCACGGCTGGGATCCGATAGTGGTTGTGGGTTTTCCAGGCTGTTTGGCTGTGTTCTTAAGGTTTTTCGTCCTAACGTTTTGCCAGTCTCTGTGGCTGGCATCTTCAGAAGAATCAGAACTCTGTCTGAGCACAAAGACTGGCAAAAGATGCCAGCCACAGAGACTGGCAAAACGTTAGGAAGAAAAACCTTAAGAACACAGCCAAACAGCTGGAAAACCA